TTGGACAAACTGGTTTTCCCGGAAAAACGCCCGGAAAATTGTGTGAAAACACATAAAGCAACAGCTTGGGCTATAATGAAGCAGTTAACCAAAAATTTGAAGTCATATAATTAGGGGATTTTAAAGCGGTTTTCAACGACAACAAGTTTTTGATTTGATTTTATAATTGCACATTAGACTGGGATTTGAAGTTAAAAAATGGTTAGTAAACATGGTTAGTAAACATTTTTTAAGGATGATAATATATAAAATGTTTTATTCATAAGGCTTACATTATTTTAAACATTCTTGTGGACATTTTAAGATTTCTTATTAACAGAGCAAAATTTATTTAATGGATTTCTATAATTAGACGGCTGAAAGGCTGTTTTGGGCGGTAATAAAAATGTCCGTTTTCATATTTCGCTTTTTTGCTATAAAAAGTTTCCTTTTCCAATTTAATCGATCGACGCCCCTTTAACCCTACTGAAACCCTATACAGCCATCGATCATGATCGCGCTTCCTTCCGCAAAAAATTCCCACAGTGCGAAAATCGGCGAAGGATTGCGATTGAGATTAGGAAAAGGAGCTGAGCCTGGCGAAAAGAAATTTACGAGCGATCAAATAACCGAGGCCAGGTATCAAAGGGTGCACAATCCTGCCAGAGGTCCTGAGGCCGGGTTCAAATGTGTCACGTCTTATGATGTCACTGCTGGCGAAGCTGCAGCAGTTACCCCAATGAGCAGATAGTCATCGGCCTTCTTCGGCAGCGTCCTTATCCTCATCCACGTCCTCGTCCTGACCCCGATCTGCGTTGGGTTCACAGTAAATTACTCGAAGAGGTGAAATGCAAACAAAGACGAATCGTCTGGCCTTGCCAAAGGTCTGCCTGAAGGTCTCCAACCCTTGCCCGCCGCTTTTCTTTTCGTTTCCTAGTTTTTTCCCCTTTTTCCTTGCGCTCCTTTTTGTGACGAATCTAATGATTTTTGCCTCAAAACTGAAGCGATTTTTCATTGACCCAACGATGGGGTGAGTTCAGAGATCGTCTTGGTTTGGCCTAGGCCTCTGTTATGCCAGCTTGAACTGGTAGATGCATTCACCCGTGAAGACTCCGCTCTAAGAAAAGGCATCCGTCTTAGACTAGGGTCTGGTTTTTTGGGTCATTACCGCATTAAGCCGAATTTATGGCAATGGAATGCCAATAGTCATGCAGATTAATGGGAAAGGGTACTCAGAGGTTAGCAATCCAAGTCTCGGCATTTGTTCGATTTTAAATGGGTCAGGAAAAAGAAAACATTGACATATTCTTTTTGGATAAAATAATTCGTAAAAATGATCTAGGAAAAAATTATGCCTATAACCTTTAACGGCAAGGGAAAAATAAATACAATTTTTGCATTAACGTAATGCAAAGGTATATAACTATTTATGGGTGATGCACTTTAAAATTTCTGAATAACAAAGTAATTGGCAATAACTAAAAATCTCTAAAAAGAATAGCCAGCGACTTATGTTCTTTTTAAATTAATTTCATTAATATAGTTTTCAGTCTTAATTCTTATAGAACTACATTAAACGGCAGATTAAAACTTTAAAATGTTACATTTATTACTTATGTACATTAAGTTTTAAATTTGGTTTTAAAATATACTGCAGTTAATAGTAAAATACTTTTATAAACATCCGCATACCGTTGATCTTTTGGAAAATAGTAAGCATCCATTTGCCCAGTCTTTGAGCTGTTATACATTCGTATTCAAGTGATAAAGCTTGACAAAGTTTATAAATAATATATCTACCTAAAATATAATAATACAAATGGTGATCATTGCAATGCTGTTTTCTGCTACAAATGTAGGAAAACCACCCAAATTAATTTGTTTTGGGCTGCAACAACCCAATTTATGCCACAAAATCAAACACTTTATCTATAAAAATTACATTCACCAAAGAGGGAAAATAGGCCGAATATGAACAGACTTTTCACTCATCCACTGAACATGCAAATGACCGTTTTGTGAGAGGAACAATGGTTCAGATCTTTCAAAATAATTTGATGCTACATTTGTATGCATAATATGGTTGGGCAGGAGCAGCAGAAGGAGGAGGAGGAAGGCGAGCGGGGTGCCGGAAATCGGGAATTGGGAGTAGACCAGCACGCTGACCCGAAATTATAAAGTTACAATAGCGCCGGCAGCAGGGCAACCCTTTGCTACCCCCGAACGAATCGAATTACAGGGACTCTGCCGGACCGAAGACCATAAACCGTGGACCGACCCTTGGACTCCGGGTCCATTGGGCTTGTTAGCCGTGCAGCCCTCATGTTGGTATTCAAATTGCTCCGTGCCAGCCCAAGGATTTGACCAAACAAATCCCCTCTGAGGTGCGCATGTGCAGCAGATTAAATGTTGGACGATGTGCAGCTTTCACTGCACAAACTCGGGCAAACTGGTTTTGGATTTCCTATGCCTATTTCCTATGCCCTGGTGATGCTGGGCTGTCCATCCATCAAAGGACTTGGACGCTGAGGGGAAAAACAACAAGTCATTTGAAGTTTTAATAGATGCTGCATCCTTTTGTTGGGAAAAGTAGCTAAAACTGGTTTCTAAACCAGACCAACCCTTTTCTCCGAGCGGATATTTTATTTTAATTTTATTTCCTTCGATTCGAGCAAGTTTTCCCTGGGAAATGTCTTGTACGGTGCCTGCCGTTTTTAAAAGAAATTTCACAATTTATTTTGATAGAATTTATCTCTTGCCGCCTAATGGGCACTTTGGGTTATGGCATCTTGAGGGACTTTCTGAAAATAAAAATGGATTTTTAAATTCATAATTGCGCTGACAATGAAAGGACTATAAATTATTAAAGGATATTCCCAATATCCAAAATATTAGAATAGAAATAGTTTGAAAGAAGACTACAGCAGATGATTAAATTCAGAATAAGCCACGAGCCGGCCACTTAATCAAAAACCCTCGTCCACCCCTTCGTCGCACTTCAACTGACCGCTGGTCCTCACCGAAACTATCAGTGGCATTGTTTCTCATCCTCCCTTCCTAACGCGGAGAAGGGTCAACATGCGGCACGCGCGAATGGTCAGGAATCTGTATCCCGAGCGATTGCAACCGACACTTTTAACGGATGCGGCAAACAAAGAAAGGATTTCAATTTGCAAAAACATATATTATGCTTTCATTAAACGGGCTTTGTTATGTAAATTGCGAAAAATCATTTACCACCAACATCCAAAATGGCATGGCACTGACTAAAGGTAAAAATGTCTGTGCAAAATTTAAAATTAATCATATCGAGACTAGATTAGATTACAGCATTTAAAAGTTAGCAGTTATGTGAAGGAATTAAATTTATTAATAGAATGAAGATTAAAATATTAAATGGCTATTAAAACTATACTCATATATTTTGCCAAAAATTTATTCTTGTATTTATGATCTAAGAGCATTACTTTATTATGGCTCTTAAAGCATTTGTCAGCAAAATCATTTCCTTACAATAAAAGGCTTAAATACGTACGATATAGTAATTTAAGTTATGGTTAACTTGGATTAACGTTTATTGTCAGCCTGGTCAAGCAAAAGGCTCTATTTGCCGAAGTCTCAAGTGACGTTGTATTATAAACATTAAATCAGCTTTATTTATATATATACCAGGAAAGATAAAAACCCGAGACCAACTCAATACTTCAAATAACAATACTATGCATAGTTATTCATATTACTAAACTTTATCTAAACAAGAGGAAAAGCTATAGTCGAGTGACGCGACTATAAGATACCCGTTACTGTGTTACACAATTTTAAAATATTCATTTTGCTTGTTGAAATTCCCTAAGCGCCACCTATTGTCAGAGAAAGCATGTTGGGTAACTGATAGTGACGTTACTGCCCATGTGAGGCCTTATAACCTAAATTTCTTCATAAATAGCGCAATAATGTTCCGATTTCCGCCACAGTTTTCCGCTGTTTGTGGGCGTTAGAGTGGGATACATACTGGATTTCATACTTTCTAGCTCTAATAGTTCCCGAGATTTTAGCGGTTTTAGTTTGTCGTGATTTGTGTGCATTAGAGTGGGCGTGGCAAGATGCGGAAATAAACATGCGCTGCGTATGGGCCTCAAGAATCTTCATGCTTAATTTCAACTTACTATCTCTTATAGTTCCTGAGATCTCAGCGTTCATACGGACGTACTGACGAACGGACAGACGGACATGGTTCAATCGTCTTCGCTATTGATTCTGATCAAGAATATATATACTTTATAGGGTCGGAAACGCTTCCTTCTATCTTTTACATACTTTTCAACGAATCTAGTATATCCTTTTACCCTACGAGTAACGGGTATTGAAATGAAAGGAAGAAAGGAAAGGTTTAAGAAAGTTAATTTTGTTTAGCATACTTACGTGCATCAGTTATATACATACTCATAAAGTCTTCCTGTATTATACATGAATGTAAAATCATTGCGATACCAATAAATAATATTTCGCCAAAAAATAGCACACATTTTTTTAAATGCATTTAATTCTAATGGTATTTATAATTATAAAAGGTTCATTGATAAAGAATTCAACACATTTTTATAAAAGCCTAATGAAGAATTAATGAATGAATAGTAAAAATAAAGAATGAGTAGTAATAATAATGAATAATTCGAGAAATCTAATCATTGGGAGACTCAACTTTACCCCTATAATAATAACAGTTCGATATTGACTTAAATGCAAAAACAATCGATTACAACAGAAATTAAATTCGACAAAATATTTAAAATACGCGCTAAAATCTGTTTCCGGTGAAATATATTTTAGTATATTCTAGAGCCTGCTGGTATTTTGTAACTTTTTGTTTACGGTCACTTCTATTTCTTTGCCGCGAGAGATGCGTTAAGGTTCTTAGTTTTATATTTTAAGAATAGAAGAACTCAGTTTAAATGTGGTAAGTATCTAAGAATTTCCAATTGAATATTCAACATGACTACTGCTATGTTTTAGATTTCATCATGGACTTGGAGAACAACAACAACACTCAAGTAAACGAAAAACACCGGAAAAATGTGCGAAGAAACGAAAACATGAAATTAAAACAGAAGACAAGTCATGTCAAACCAAAAGACTAAAATGTGAGGAACTAAACGGGGATGCCACTCCTCGGCTGCCTCCGCAGAGCCCCAAAAAGCGCTTACATTTAAATGGAAAGCCAAAGCACAACAAAGACCGTAGCTTCATTTATGGAAACTATAAGCACTACTATGGCAAGCGAATTCTGGACAAGGACTTTCACGACATTCGCCTCGACGTGCTGGCCACCCAGCCAGATTTGTTTCGGGGCAAACAGCTCTTGGACATTGGCTGCAACTCTGGTTACCTTTCAATTCAAATTGTGAAGAATTTCGGATCCAAGAGTCTCGTGGGAATCGATATAGATCGCGGTCTAGTCAATGATGCTCAAAAAACCATCAACAACCTGAAGCGAAAGGAAGGCGCCACTGGGCAGGGATTTCCTCACAATGTTAAATTCGTAAATGGCAACTATGTCCTGGACGACGACGTCTTGCTGGAAATCGAGCGTCCGCGGTTCGACGTAATACTCTGCCTTTCAGTCACCAAGTGGATCCACCTAAATTTCTGTGATTCCGGCCTGAAGCAGGCCTTTCGCCGCATGTACCTGCAGCTGAGCCCTGGCGGCAAGCTGATCCTGGAGCCTCAGTCCTTTGACGGCTACAAGAGGCGCAAGAAGCTATCGGTAAGTTTATCTTATACTATCCTTGTGTTATTCAAAAACAATTTTTTTCTCCAGGAAAAAATAAGGGATAACTACAATTCCATTAAATTCCGGCCTGAGCAGTTCACTGAATATCTGCTTAGCCCGGAAGTGGGCTTTAACAAAATGGAACTCATGGGAACACCAGAGCACTGCGAAGCAGGATTTAAGCGACCGATTCAGATATTTACAAAGACTTGACTAAAATAAAGTGCTCGGATATATTTTAATAAATACGAATCCGAACAAACAGAGCTTTAGATGGATCGAGTACTATTTCAAACGTTTTACTTTTCCGGGAGAACTGGGAATACTTTCCAAAATAGCGGGAACCTTTTTAAGCAAGTCTTCGCTGGTTAGTTTGAAGTCGCTATCTGCCCAAAAAAGCTTCAGTTCGCCCAACACCAGACCAATTCGTATTCCCTTAACACCATGTTCTTCCAAAGTATTTCCCCGAATTGGAAACTCCGGCTCAACCCATGCCTTAAGCTGATTGTAAAGTTCTTGTTTGTTTGAATACTTTAGCAGCGATTCTACATAATCTCGTTGAATGTACTTCTGCAAGCAAAGCTTCTGGTAGTCGCGCAGGGTCTTGTATTCTGTGTCGACCTGAAAATTTGAGTTAATTTGGAGCATTTTAAATTATAGAAACTCTACTTACTTTCTCTCGCCACTGTGTAATGAATCTAGCCAGATCGCGTTCGTAGGCGGAAAGCTTAAGGCGCTTGTGCATCTCCATGACATTTTCCACGGAATGCAACATACCTGTCAAGTACAAAATCGGGTAATGCGGCTTTTCGAAATGCACTAGGGCAGCGCAAAGTCGCTTGAACTCCTTGAAGTTAGGCTCAACAGGCAGACCAATATGCTTGAACAATTTACAACGGTGCATTTCCAACAGCAATTCGGGTCCATAATTGCCGACCACAATCTTTTGCAGTTCCATCCAGATCCGCTCACCGCTTATTCTGGCAAGTCCTTCTGCGTTCTCTTTTATAGCAGCCAGAGTGGCTTCGTCGTGGTCATTTTCTTTTTTCGCTATGCGTCCATAGAATCGGAAATATCGCAAGATGCGAAGAAAGTCCTCCTTAATCCGAATATCTGCTTCGCCTACAAAGACCACTCGGCGCTCCTGCAGATCGTCGTAGCCATAAAAATAGTCGTAGACGGTGCCATCGAAGCCCAAGAACATAGAGTTAATAGTCAAATCACGGCGGTTCGCGTCCAGCTGCCAGTCAGTGGTGTACACAACTTCCGCATGTCGTCCATCAGTGCGAAGGTCGATGCGCAGCGTAGTCACTTCAAAGTTTTCTTTGTCATTGATGCGGGGAGTAATGGTGCCGTGCTTTTCTCCATTCGCGTTGATCATCCGTACTCCCTCCTTCTCGAACATCTCCTTCATCTGTTCCGGAGTGGCGGTGGTGGCCAGATCGATGTCCTTCGGGGGAATGCTCATCAGGATATCACGCACTGCGCCGCCGGCTATCCGCAGCTCATAGTCGTACTTTTTGAAGAGTGCCACCAAATCATTCAGTTCGGGGGTAAATACACTTTCAAACTCAGGAGTTTTCACTTTTCGGAATGCCGGATTATCGCGCATCCTGGGCGGTTTTCCCAACTGAGAGATCAACTCAGGGGAGGTATCTCGTAGACGAACGGGAGACTGCGCCATGGTCTTTACACGGCGAATTTGCTGCCGGGTGTTTAGAGCAAGAGATGCGAAAGCACGCGTGATCAGATTGACGAGATGGCATGTGCCATTCATAGCGATTAGACAAAGTTAGAAATCTTTTACTTTTCCAACACGCCTGACTTGATTTGACTTTGTAAACAGTCCGGAAAAGTGGGATCAAATGTTTTGTTTGAGAACTTCGTGACCAGATGTAATCTATACCCTGTAATGAAGAGGTTTGTTGTTTGTATCAAATACCTCGCAACTTCTAAATATGGAGAAGTAGCTGTTTTTGCCTTCGGATTGCGATTATTCTGTCTTTTCAATTCTTTATGATTCCGACGAGCTAACAGTTATTTTTCGTGTATTTATTGCCTTAGAATCCAGAATTTCGTATTTCGTTATTAAAACAATAAACATTTGAGTTAAGCCAAGTATCTCTAAATTTCTTTAGAGCTACTAATTCAATATTACCGAATCCTCTTTCTTCGTTTTCGAATTTTGCTTCGAATTAAAAACAACACAAACCCTTCTAATAATGATAAGGATATTCAAACGCAGGGCATTCATTAGTCGAGTTTCCCAGTGCTGTCTTACTCACCGATATATTTTGTGAAGCCGAATTCGGGCACACTAGGGGAAACCTGTTACTTTGTTTACCCTTATACTGAAGTCAAATATTTGAATCAATGCCTCCGCGGTTGTCATTCGCTCCAGTCAGAAACTTTGCGAAACAAGGAAACTTAACTCGAAGGATGAGCTCCCAGCCTAAAGTATACGTGACTCGTCCAGACGTCGATGATAGCGGCCTGGAGCTCCTGCGTAAGAGGTTTGTCTCTTTTTTTGTCGCCGGCTAATTAGCATATGCTATAATTTTTAAGATGCATGAAATTTTACAGGTGCCAGGTGAGCACTTGGAATGAGACTATTCCGGTGCCTCGCTGCGAGCTGATTCGGGAAGTGGCCGGGAAAGACGCACTTTACTGCGCCCTAACAGATAAAATCGACAAGGAAGTCCTGGATGCTGCTGGTTCCCAGCTAAAGTGCGTGGCCACCATTTCGGTGGGTTACGAACACATCGATGTGCAGGAATGCAAGAAACGTGGTATTCGCGTGGGTTTCACTCCAGACGTTCTTACGGATGCTACGGCTGAACTGACGCTTGCTCTCCTCTTAGCCACCAACCGACGTCTGTTTGAGGCAAACAAGCAGGTTTACAACGGCGGATGGAAGTCATGGGCCCCGATGTGGATGTGCGGCCAGGGACTGAAGGGTTCCCGGGTGGGAATGTTTGGTTTCGGACGCATCGGTCAAGAGATAGCGGCACGCATTGTGCCATTCAAGCCGGCGGAGATAACCTACACAACCCGCTCGCCACGTCCCCAAGAAGCGGCTACTGTCAATGCCCGACGTGTGGACTTTGACGAGATGGTCTGCAACTCAGACTTTATCGTAGTCTGCTGCGCCCTGACCCCGGAGACCAAAGAAATCTTCTCTACCGAAGCATTTCAAAAGATGAAGCCTAACTGCATCCTTATCAACACTGCGCGAGGAGGTGTTGTAGACCAGAAAGCCTTGTACGAGGCACTGAAGAACAAACAAATTCTGGCGGCTGGCCTGGATGTAACGACGCCGGAACCATTACCTTTGGATGATCCCCTTCTTAAGCTGGACAATGTAGTTATTCTTCCACATATTGGAAGTGCGGACATTGAGACACGAAAGGAAATGTCCCGAATTACAGCTAGAAATATACTTGCTGCTCTAGCTGGTGATAAGATGGATGCTGAAGTAAAATTGTAAACCATTTAAACTTGTGATCCCGATGATAATTTTCAATTTGATCAATTCTAAATAAAAGTATGGATTTAGTTGATTCTTGAGTGATACTTAACATAGATAATCCTATTCACGCGCTAAAGACATCCATAATGCTCACGTTGAAAACTGATTTATCGTACCCCTGACACCTCAACTCTCCCCATAATAATGATGTTAACACGACTGCTTCTTAAATGGAATTTCAAATTATTATTTACATATAGATATAAATATAGGTCACATCGCTTTGGTGTAATACGATATTATACGCTATTATGGCTATCTAACGGCCATGAAAAAAATATGTTAGCATTCCAAACAGCTGTCAGGTGAAGTGTAATGATAAGTCAGCCGACTTCCGTGCCATATTGGAAATTGCAAAGAAAATGGTAGAGGCCCAAAATCGGTAAATAAGCCTTCACAGGCTCATAATGGCGACTCGCCAAATTAGGTACTCGATTTGGATACTCGTTTAAGAACTTAACTAAATTGGCCAGGAGGTAAATATGTATTGGCAATTTGAAGTTATAAAGCTTTTCATTAGCTGTGGCGTAGTTAAACGAAGAACATTTAATCTTCGGAGCAGGGTATGCTAACTACAGAGCGTCTACCTCTGAAGGGCCCACTCCTTAAATCTAAGAACGTTAATAATCTTCCCCATCGGCAGCTTTGAACTTGAAACCATTAAAAAAGATGTATTGGTTTAGAGGCAACAATATTTGGGTGAAAATTTGTGGTTAAAGTAAAAGTTTAAATACAATCTTTGTCTTATTAAGAAAATTGGACATGTATGTATATGGACAAACAAAACAATTGGGTTGCAGTTAATCCTCGCCAGGTGGCAGTGGTTGATTAAGATCGCTGGCGATTGGCGGAGGTACAGGCATGGGCACTAAAGACGTCAGCACAGGCACTGTGGATATAACTCCGATTTCTGAAGTATCCTGTACCTCTTTCTTAATGTGATCGGCGCTGATGTAGCCACCACTTTCATCCTAGAAAAAACGAAATATTATATAGTTTATAATTTGCTACTCTAAACTAATAGAAATTTCACAGTTACCGTGATGAACACATCTACGGACTTCCCGGAGATGATGTCTAGAACCTGCTGAGTAATGCCACTACCATTCATTGGTTCATCTTGCATGCTCTCAGCGTATTCCGACAAAAGTGGTCTTAGATCAGGACATTGCTGCAATGCGTCCACTAGCTGGGCAGGCGGAAGGTGCAGAAGAATCGGCATGGATTGTGGCTTTAAACGTTGAACTGTCTTTAGGAAACCCTCCCAAATGACCTTTTGTCGCCAAACCTGCTTCATGATAAGTCGCTGCAGCAAGTTCATCACAAAGTTGGCTAGACGCGGGTACAGAGTCAGACTTTGTATGGTTGTGCGCATCATTAGAGTAGGTAGTGGATTAACGTCCACAAGCTGCTGCAAAACTGCCATAAGCACCTCCTGGGTATACAAATCTCGCTCGGCAAGACAAAGCGATGTGGCCTTAACAATGGCCTTGAGGTCACAGACACTCGGATCAATTGTATGCAAAGCAACCAGGATATCCGTGGGAGACAGGGCCATCGTCTGATGAGCAAACTCGGCGCCAATACCAAGCAAACGATTGAAGACTTCCTTGACCACGGCGGGATTTAGTTTTATTAGCTTGGGAAGAACCGCGATCAGCTCGGAGCGGGACAAGCCGCTAAGTACGGGTATCATCACTCGCACATCCTTGACCTTGTTCTTATAGAGATCCCGTACCCGTCGGACGAGATCCTCATTTGGCGTTGGCACACGCTCCGTCAATATGTATATTATGCGGATCACTAATGTCTCCATGCCCTTTGGACAGTCTTCGATCAGCTTAAGTAATGCCGAATTTTCCACACCCAACTTCTTGATGGGAATATCCAGGCTACGCAAAATCGTTCGCTTTAACTCAGGGGAGGTTGACGCAAATACTTGACAGATTTTCTCCACGTAAACTAGGAAAACAAAATGAACATATATTTCATGAAATGTTAATATTTAAATAGCTTTTAGAAACTTACTCTCTGGCTTGTAGGGAAGCAGGGTAAAAGCCAAGCCAAGGCACACCTTGGCAGTATCCTCACGCCAGGCTGACTCTGCAGTTGGACGACCGAACTCCTGCGAAAAAACAGCAGACGGCGGAGACTCTCGTTCCACAAATTGTAACCACTCTAAAGCAAATTCATCTATTCGCGCTGGAAGGATTTTGTGCACATGGTAAAGACTAACAAGGTGGGCCAATGCCCGATCCCGCAGGTCGGCTCGCTCGTGCACGCACAAGTTAAGTAGAGCTCTTACGAAACGATTCTTACGTGGCGGCCTAAGCACCGCGAGATCCTTGATCAGCTCCAAACCATGCTGGGAGAACTCGTCTTCTAAACTAAGCTGAACCAAATGTCCTATTGAAATTTCTGGAAGGATGGGCGCTTCTAGATAAACCCGACGGATCAGAATAATCTTATCCTTGTGATCGCACCGCTCTCCAATGCCACAGATAAGTTTATTCAGCAACTCATTGTAGGCATGATCAGGGCGGTTTTCGGTCTTTACGTAGGTGTGTCTTGTGAATCCTTGCAGCAAGGAGTATTCCTCAAAGAGCCAGGAGAAAGCTAGATCAATGCGCTGTTTTACATCCTCTAGAATAAACTCCATGATGCCATATCGTACATTATTTGGAAAAGTGGCCGCAATCACAGTAACCAACTTGCGGCGCTTAGATGAGACGCCTCCCTTGATGCACTGCCGCTCTGAGTTAAGTATGCGACGCACTGCTTCCGTCAGAAACTTCTCCTTTAAGTTTCGTGACAAAGGTTTGGTGATTTCCTGCAGCTTTAGCGTCTTGGCGCGCTCTTTCATTTTTTCAATCACAGTTTGTTCGCCTCTGGCTCGTTCCATTGTCTCACGCAGCTTCTTAGTGGCCTCCTCTTTACGTTGGAACTCCTCCTCACTTAGTTTTTGAACGGCTTCATCGTCCACCTTCATGGGAGTAACTGTTGAATCAATTGGTTGCACTTTTTTAACCCTCATTGGCGGATCCCGACTAAAGGTTGCAGAGCCCGGGCCAAGACGCTTCTCTGAAAGCTGTTCTCCAAACATTCTGGAGATGTTGCTTACTTGCTGCTGGGTAGACATTTCGCGAATAGGTGTATAATCCTCGAGAAACTTCTGAGGTACATCAGCAGGTAAGCTTGGTAGGAACTCTACAACTAGACCCACCACCGTTTCGGGATTGCGCAAATGCTCCGCCAAAAACTTTTCGTTGACTCGAGTGGACTTCTGCTTCTGACGCTCCAACTCCTCGGTGTCCAGCTCCATTTCTTGGTGCTGCTGGTCCTGCTGATCTCTAGCCAGGCGTGCTCTCTTTGCAAGACTTTGAGCCGCATTTTCAAGGATGCGCTTTTGTCGCCTGGCCATTTCCTGCTTATCCATCTTGGGCATAAGCTTTTGTATCTCATTTGACGAGGCCCCGAGATCCACAAGCATTCCTTTGATGGTGTTGGCGAACTCGAAGGCTCCTCGGTTCTTCATAAGTGTCTGCAACTGCATCTTGAGACTCTTACGAACAGAACTAACTTGAGAGTCAGTGAGGGTGGGTGGCAGGTTAGCATTCAAGTGTTTAAAGGCATCTACCACGGCACCCATAAAGACAGGACGCATTTTGGCCACAGTACACAGGCTACTTGTGCAGGCAATTAAGTTTACCGAGGAAATATGGGTGGTGCCGTGAAACTGAAGCAATATATCAAATATATTGTTGCCCTCGTCCTGCAATTTTTGGCGGCGAAAGAGCTTGCAGTGATCGGGGACATCGCCTAGCGAGAAGTCTCCATCCCTTTTAAGGCTATCCTCGTCCGCAAAGCTCTGCAGTACAACGACACCCTCAAGAAACTTAATAGCGTTCGTACGTATGCCATCGTTTTCATTGTCGATCATGTCCAAAATTTGTGCTTTGATCAGGCTAAGGATGTTCCATGCCTGCTCTGCACTGTCACCTGGTTCCATGAGGTTGCATAGGTACTGCAATCCATTCTTGTATATGCTACCGCAGGCCTGGATCACTCGCTTGATTACCTGAGCAGAGTTATCCCGAAGCAACATAGAAACGATGTTGATGACGTGTGGCAGTAGCTCCACCTTCACTTTACTAGAATGATAGAGATGTCTTAGAAAAAGGTTCTTATGTAAATATTTGGTACTTACCAAACTTGCTCCACAAAGGCGACAACCTGCTTTCGTACCTCCATGTTTGGATCGTGAGCCAACGACAGGACTGGCTCCAGGAACTCCTCGGCAAGCTCAACGCAAGATCCGAGCACAGTCTCCTGCACCTTGACGAGCAGTTCACATTTGGTTGATGCCGATTCAATAGAGAGTTCATTGCACCATTCTACCACCTAAATGGAAAAAAACATAAACATCATAGAAACCTTTGGCGGCTTTATTGAAATAAGACTTTATTCTTACCTTTGCCCTTGCCGTCGCCGTTTTTTCGTCTGTAAAGAGATTAGCTGTCTCCGAAACAAACTGGCTACGTCCAATTATACTATCCATGATCGGTCAGATGTTTCAGAACGTTTCTAACTCTACGGAATAATAAATTTTTAAGAGCTGCCGGCTCTGCATTAAGAAACTATCGAAAACGATTTTTGTGTGATGGCAAATTCAGCAATTTCCCTCCAAATCTAGATTTTTCACGTCAAAGAGGCTGAAGACATTGCCCTTTAGAATTAAAAATACATAAAAATGTTGATGCTCAAAATTAATTGAAAGGAATATTAATCTTTGGCAACAAAACAATTCTTTGGTCAAGCTAAGTTGTAAGAAATGATTTATTATGCTTTTGCTTTGTTAAATAACAAAATAACACTAAATTCTATATAAATTTTCATGATCTAATTGAAATTGAAAATTCAGCGCTTCTGGTTACCATAAAATTTTTGAAAAAATTGTATATTTTTAAATTATTAGAATATGTTGTAATATTTTTAAAACTAGATAAAACATCGTTAAATGATACCACTTTTTCAAAATTTCAAACTAAATTATTCTAGCCCATCTTCTTAGCTATTTCTATAAACTAAAACGCTTTATTTTAACAAATTTAACTTAAAAAATAATATATATGGAACCAATTAAAGATAGAATTGTACAAAGTTAAGGTGCTGGTATTAAACATATCGCTCGCTGAATCTGCTGGAAAAACTATCCTTTTTCAGTATGATTTGTCTTATCGATAGCATGCGGCACTGCTGCGCTGGCTCAGCGATATGTGGGGGTGACTATCGATAAGTCAGAGGCATCGATTTGCTCACATTTCTTGGGTGTTTTAGCGTGAAAAAAACGCCTAAATAAACGAATCGGCAGCGTGTCAGGCAAGAAAGTGCAACTAACGGATAGCCGTTCACGCCGCAGTCGAGGTTTAGAGCCATTGACGCCATCGAAGGCGTTGAAAAAACGTCGCAGCAGAGTGTTTACTAGGCAAGGGGTGCAGCGAAGGAGGGTGTTGGGTGCGTACGTGTGTATGTGTGCGCCAGTGAGTGGCAGAGGAAACGGCAGAGGAGCAGCAACGGATGTAGCTCATTGCCCGGACCCCTCAGTGGATACCACAAACAACGAGCGTAAGCGTACGCAGGCCAACTTAGAAGCACAAAGAAAATAAACACTGGAAACCGAAGACGAGGCCTTCTGGAACTGGAACAGATCTGCTCAACAGCCGCAACCGCGTCGGTGACCGCACCCTAATGTCAAATAGTCAAGCGAATGCCGGCAACAGCGGTAACGCGGTAGCGGATGAACCAACCCAGCACCACCCCCCCTTGGCGGCCGCCCCTGCAAATGCATCCTGCCCACCAGCGACGCCGGCGTCGCAGTCGACGCATCAGCCCCCGCATATAGTTGGTGCCTCAACAGCTGATGCGGGCAGCGGCGTTGTTGTCGGCGTCGGCGTCTCCGTTGGCGTCGTCGCTGGCAGCGATGGTGTCAATTTGGATTCGTCGCCACGCGAGTCTGGGGACGATTCGGAGGACGAAAGCGAAATCCTGGAGGAATCGCCCTGTGGGCGCTGGCTAAAGCGGCGTGAGGAGGTTGATCAACGAGACGTGCCCGGGATCGATTGCGTCCATCTGGCCATGGACACCGAGGAGGGTGTGGAGGTCGTGTGGAATGAGGTGCAATATGCCAGCCTGCAGGAGCTGAAGTCGCAGGAGGAGAAGATGCGGCAGGTGTTCGACAATCTGCTGCAGCTCGATCACCAGAATATCGTTAAGTTCCACCGCTATTGGACGGACACGCAGCACGCGGAGCGGCCTCGGGTGGTCTTCATCACGGAGTACATGTCGAGCGGGTCCCTGAAACAGTTCCTCAAGCGCACTAAGCGCAACGCCAAGCGATTGCCGCTGGAGTCGTGGCGTCGGTGGTGCACCCAGATCTTGTCCGCGCTCAGCTATTTGCATTCCTGCTCGCCGCCCATCATCCACGGCAACTTAACCTGTGATAGCATCTTCATCCAGCACAATGGCCTGGTCAAGATCGGCTCAGTGGTCCCGGACGCGGTCCACTACAGTGTCCGCCGGGGACGGGAACGGGAGAGGGAACGAGAGCGAGGCGCCCACTACTTCCAGGCACCGGAGTACGGAGCCGCCGACCAGTTGACAGCTGCCCTCGACATCTATGCCTTCGGGATGTGCGCCCTGGAGATGGCCGCTCTGGAAATCCAGCCCAACAATAGCGAGTCGACTGCCATTAATGAGGAGACCATTCAGCGCACAATCTTCAGCCTGGAAAACGATCTGCAGCGCGACCTGATACGAAAGTGTCTCAATCCGCAGCCGCAGGACCGGCCCAGCGCCAACGATCTGCTTTTTCACCCACTGCTTTTCGAGGTGAGTAAGGTCTTATAAATTATCACGTTCTCAATTTAAATCAAGCAATTGCCTTGTTAAGTAGAACTTGTGGTTATTAGATTACTCGAAAATTACTCGAGGGAATCTTGTGGAAATGAAATTCAGCTGGTGTCGTTTTTTAATTTTTCGTTAATCAATTTTTCTTTCTTTTGTAATGAAATTTTATTTTAATGGGAATCTCCTGGAAATGTGTTACTTTGTTTCGAAAATGAATTTAATATAAAAACTAAATATTTCTTTATATATTTTATGATACTTTATTTCAGAACCGATTTCTTTTAAACAAATATTCTTTATATCTCTAACTGAGATAGGGATCAGTTTAAGTTATATGTACATAGCTTTTGTTATTACCTTCGACTGCAACAAAACTTTATTTTATAAAACTTACTTCATATGCCTTTTGACTCACTGTTTATTAATCCAGTAGCTTCTTATAGTCTAAGTTAACACTAATAATAAGATAATCAATCATTTACTGAAAGGTCTTTTATTTTAATAATGAATGGTACCCAATTAATCGAAGTGCATTTGCAACTGTAAGTTATTACTTGTTATGTTTGCAGTAAAAGTCTTTAATAATGAAGAAAGCATATTATCCGACGGTTTTACAGACAAAGTGGACCAATACAAATTTATATAGTGTCGTCTTCTGGAAAAATTGTCATTTCCTTTCCGTTAACCGAGAAAAGTGGGTTACTGGAAAAGTACCATGGATACCTTAATAATATTTATATTCCTCGATAAAGAAATTTGAAAAGTTTCGGAAAATTTTGCAACAAAATTATTTATCTTATATGCTTGCATTTTTTTTAGTACTTCAATAAAGATATACAAATCGTGTATCGGGTTCAATGATTTACTTTGATCGTTTCATATTTATTTAATTTATAAATTTAACAAATATGTTTTTACTTGAAAAATTTAGTTTGGGCTTGCATACAGACCTTGTATAATTTCCTGAGGAGTAAAATGTACATTTCTAGTTTAACATATTAAAATTGTTCGCCTGAATACATCGATTTGGTAATAATCTCATTATTTTCTCCCAAGGTGCATTCCCTCAAGCTGTTGACTGCCCATTGCCTGGTCTTCTCGCCTGCCAACCGCACCATGTTCTCGGAAACCGCCTTCGACGGCCTGATGCAGCGCTACTACCAACCGGATGTGGTTATGGCCCAGTTGCGGCTGGCCGGCGGGCAGGAGCGGCAGTATCGACTCGCTGACGTTTCGGGCGCCGACAAGCTGGAAAAGTTCGTTGAGGACGTCAAGTACGGTGTGTATCCGCTTATTACGTACAGCGGCAAGAAGCCGCCCAATTTCCGCTCGCGGGCCGCCTCCCCGGAGCGGGCTGACTCCGTGAAATCGGCCACGCCGGAGCCGGTGGATACGGAGTCACGGCGCATCGTTAACATGATGTGCAGTGTTAAAATCAAGGAGGATAGCAATGACATAACCATGACAATACTGCTGCGCATGGACGACAAAATGAATCGCCAACTGACATGCCAAGTTAACGAGAACGATACGGCGGCGGATCTCACCAGCGAACTGGTGCGCCTAGGCTTCGTCCACCTCGACGATCAGGACAAGATTCAGGTGCTGCTGGAGGAGACGCTCAAGGCGGGCGTTATGAGCGACGGTGCCGGGGCAGAGAGTTCCGGTGCGGGGGTGACCACCACGGCGACCATGGCAGCCTTGGAGCAGCTGGAGCGCAACTGGTCGATATCCTCGGATGCAGACCAGCAGGGCACTGCCGTGATGTATGTGCCGCAGGAACAGCAGCAGCACACGGATGTGGAAGTCGAGGTGGAACAGTCGGGCACGACGAGCAATTGAAAGTATCAGCTTAGTATTCAGGGCAGGCCGGCGCGTATTGTTTTTATTATATTGGGAAATTACACATTACGATTTTATTACTACTATTATTTGTTATTTTTATATATATACCTATATATATGTATATGTATGTATGTATTTGAAATAATATTTATGTATGTATGTACCATAAAAGATGTTGAACCAGGCTTCCAGGCTAAAGAATTCGATGACATAGGACACACACACCACACCAGGGTGGGTCGACTCGCATGAATACGATAAAAACAAAAAGTTGCAGGATCAAACGAGTCATTTAACGAAAATCTGGGTCTTAGAAATTATATAAAAAATGTGTGTTTTGACGTAGAAGTCCAGAAAACGTAAACGGGATATTTAGAAACATTTTGCTGTTAACCACGACTTTCCTCCCCTACTAAAAATAATATATTAGTCCTATAGTTTCATTAGCGAAAATGCTCAGAATTGGTTTGTTTTTTAAACTCATGCCCAAAATAATATATCGATCCACCTCAGAACACACACTTTTGAAAGCAAGCAGCTAATGAGCTTACAAATATCAAAGCATTGGCTTAGCAAAACTCTGGAACGAGCGCGAATGGAATTCGCAGCTCTGAATGCTAGACAGGATTCGAAAACAGAAATTCAGACACCCTCAGATTTCGAAAAAAAAACATCTGGACGCCAATATGAATATGATTTATTCTAGGACTATATTAAATTTGATAAATTAGCCATGCCGCGACGAGAACAAAACCTAAAACCGCAGTGGAATGTATTTAAATGTATTACAAATATAAAAAAATACGCAAGGCCACGAAAAATAATAAATAAATTATTTAACTAAAAAACTATATAAACACAAGCAGAGCATGCAACAAAAATAATACACAACAGACATAGCTACACTATTATTAAATAAATAAAGATGGCAACCAGCTGACTAATTATACTCTTTTCATTCTTCTTCAATTTTTGTTATCAGACACATTTGGATATAGAAATTCGCTTTAAGTTTCGGAATCGACACTGATTGAGTATGGAATCAATCCGAGATGTAATACAATTTAAAAATAGAGCTCCAATAAAAATACTACAGGAATCATATTCTTAGCAAAGGTTCCTATAATTTGTTTTACAATAAGTTCAAATCATTTAATATTCCAAAAAATATTACTTTATTTTGATTTGAATGAGTATGTATAGATTAATATCTTTCTTTAGCTTTATCATTAAGTAATACCCCTTTCTGGGTAGAAATCCATTTGTAAGTCATCGAATCTTATTTTATGGAGAGTAACTAAGCACACGCCTGGACAGCAGCTTCAGCTTCTTTTGGATCCGGTGTGGTCAACTTAATACGTTTGCACTGTCTTTCTTCGGCATCTTCATCGCTAAACCCTTCTATTGGCACGACGGCCGAAGAGTCCATAACAGGAGATTTCTTGTCATGACTCAATAAGGGCACAACACGAATTGGTTGCTCCTCCTCGTAGAGATCTAATAGCTTGTTGCCCTCGTAGAGGACGAACGGTAATGTTGCTCTTTCATAATAGTCCGGCATTAGCTCCAGGTTGTTGATCACTGTGTCCAGCATGTGAGACTTCTCGCACCAGATGCCTGGAGCGTCGTTCCGAACCGGATTTATATGGACGTGCAGGTGATAAAAGGATGGCTGGTAGTGAAAGTACATGCGCAGCTGATTGGGATTAATGCCGTAACGCTCAGAGATTGCGTCCTTCGACGCCTGGCGCAGATTCCGCAGCAGATCAAGGTGGCTTCCTTTCAGATCCCGTAGAGACTTGATATCATGCTTGTGGACAATGCCCAGCAGATAGAGGGTTTCCACATTGCGTCCATCCCATTTCAGATCGGGCAGCAAGATAAAACCAGTGTCCGGGTCCTTGTCCTCAAACACAATACGTTCCGTCTCTTGCTTGTGCTCAAGTATGTTATATACCCACTCTAGGGAGAACTGGCTTGAGGTAAGATATGGAAGTGTTATCTTTTCGTAGAGATCAGGTGTCTCCCGAATGAGGTACTTCTGGCAAACAGAATATTTCTCGATGTGCTTTTCGGTGGCGGGATAAATAACTGTGCTCTTGACACCTGTGAAAAAATATATTGTTACTTCAATGTAATGTAATGGTTATATGTTAAATACTTGCCGCAGAGATCTCGACTGGGCACAACCTGAAAACTGCCATAAATGTTGTTAATGAACTCAGTTTTCACCTTCAGCTCCGGATCAAAGTAACTTGGTTTTTTTGGAGAATCCTCACTTGGCGACTCCGTTGAGACATCACTTTCTCGGTATGCTGCAGGAATTATATTTTATTATACAAATCTTCCACTTAATAGCGTTTTTAATACCATTTTTCTCAAAAACAACAATGGCATCGTCGGTTCCGAGGTCCGGAAAAGTGCCCAGAAGGGATATGCTTTTTCTGACACTGTTGTTGGTTAGGATCCGTTTCAGCCGAAACTTGGATAGGTCGTATGACGGTGACTTTACTTCTGTACTTTCTACCTCCGACATTTTATTAATTCACTTATAGAAAGATGGAATTATTTACTTGCGGCTTTTTCAGTCAGGTAGTGGGACCGTGCTTGGGCTCTGAAAATATACCTTTACTTTTTCAAAGTCTATTTGACGCAGACTCAAACCACGATAAAAAACTTTGCTAAAACTGTTTTTATTTGCTCGAATTCCAATTGATAAATTCACTAAGTCTGAATATACAGACGTTCAAATTTGAAGATAATTTTCCCGAATTAAAGTCAAGACATCGTTGTTAAATTTTCATTTATTGTGTATACGCCATTAAAGTACCGTTAATGAACTTTAGAATATGTATCTGTATAAACGTCTACATCGCAACACCAAGTGCTCGCCAAACATGTTCAGAACATTCATAATCATTTTGAGCTTAATACTAACACACATTTTGCACTTACACCTAATGCCCAAATGAATGGATATTAAAATTGGTTTCTCAGCTGGATACAACGATTATTACACAACAACACCTTTTGAAGGCTTCGCGCCTAGAATGTCTGATAGCTTTTGCTGATAGGAAGCCAAGAGATTGGCGTCAGTTATACCAAAGGACTTGCACGACAATTGCAGGGCGTTAAGCAACTGCATTTCAGAGAACTGAGTGCCCCGTTCCAGCAACACATTGAGTATTTCCTGTAGGTGAACAAGCAATTATGTAGTGACTCAGACTATGAAATAAAGGTTACAAAATTAATTAATACTTACATCTGGTTCCATGCATAAAAGCTCATAAAACTGCTTGGCCTGATCTAAAGCCACTTCCCTAGAGGCAGTTATGTTACTCAGAGTCTGCTGCAAGGCGATTGAGTTCCTGCACATGCGTTGGACAGTTATTTGATCGATATGCTCCAGATAGTTGGAGGCTTGGATAAGTATGCGCGACGCCAAGTGTGCAAGTCCCTCAAAAATGTACTAAACAAACATATAAAGTTAAGGCTAAGTGAAATCAAGAGAAAGGCGAATATTACCCTAGTTTTTCTTGGATGCAGAGTCGCACTGAACGCCTCATCCATTTCAGAGAGCCGTTTGGTGAGTACTTGCACTTGACGATCAGGCTCTAAGATGTCATCCTTGGAACCCACATAGCTGTTGGCCCTGACACTGGACTTCGAACGCAAATAATGGAAGCACTGAACGCGGACCTCGAGATGGAGAACCAATAGACAGGTATTTGCCAGCTCATCGAACTCCAAAGCCAGGTTAGTCATCACTTTGATCGTGCCATCCTTTACTGCGATGTCGGCATTGCACTCAGCAGATGCAGCGTTTAGTCCATTAACCAACGGGCGGCGCAAATCATTTGCAAACTCTGAGACGCGGCACGAAAACCACTCCATGCTCTCCTGCAGTATGGCCAGCTCCTTAAGCACACTGATCTCGACCAGAATCTCTTGCTGGGTGATTCCACCTTCGCCCAAGTTACTTGTAAGCATCTCAGCCTCTCGGATGTTGCGCTGCTGCACCTGCAACGGACTTTCCTCCTCAGAAGGCTCAAAACTTCCACGATGAAGCTTCCGGTTATGACGTGACTTCTGACTAGAGGTCTTCAAGTCCGTCCAGTTCGGGAGCGTTCTAAGCGATAATCAATAACTAATATAGATTTATTGATAATATTTATATACTTACTTTAAAAATCTGCTTATGTCTTCATCCTTAAGCCAGGCTACACTGTAAATTCTTTTATCTTCTGAATCTGGTTGCACGATTCCACGGTAGGCAGCCTGGCAGATTTCCCGATAGGCCTTCAGAAGAGCACACACCATTTTAAGCAGGTCTTCAGAGTAGCAGGGCAGGTCTTGGATGAGGTTCTTAGTCTCCATTAACCTCCTTTCGACCATCACTGTGGACTGCAACAAGGGTCTGTTCAGGTGGAGGGCCTTGATCTCCTCAGGACTAATAATAGTTCGCCATGCGTCTTGATTCTTCGAAAGCGACTCGATGGTCAGCTGCAGGTTACGGTTGTGGCCCTTGGAAAGGAATGTGTCCTTAATATAGTTGTCTAAAAAGTCATGCAGACTGCAGGGTTGCCTGGAAGTACGAGAAAATATAAAAACATTGAACCAGTCATTTAGACAATTATCTCACCCTGGCTTGCACTTCATAAAGTTCTCTATCTCCTTGATATATCCCATTAGAGGTAGGTACACTTTGGTTATGATATTTTGATCGGGAGTACAAATCAGTAATTTCTCCCGCTGCTTCTTCTCGTGAGGGAAAAGACCACTAGTTGAGCCTTTGCCACTTCCTCCGAGCTGGGCGCCCAGATTATCGTCCACGGAGGCATCTGAGGCATTGCGACGATGCTCCTTAAAGGAGTCACTATTGTTGCAGCTGCCAACATGCGAGGACTTGTCGAACTTGAACATTGAGCGTTTGGTGCTAATAAGTTGAAATATAAGTAGAAGTATTAAGTACAAAATGGTTTACTATTCGCTTACCTTGGCACCTTTCGCCTTAGGAAATAGGAATTTATGTTGCTAGTGGGCTCTGAAAAACCCGTCTGGGCACATTCGTCTGAGGCAGCGTTCTGTATATCCAGGTAGTCAGTGAGCAGCAGTTGCAACTAAAATGAAAAGGTGTATTCCAATTAAAAATGAATGTTGATAGAGCTTATAATCCCCCTACTAACCACTGACTGGGCCTGGGCCCAGAAGTCCGTCAGGTCGTACGGTTGGGGACCAACTACAGAGTACTTTTGGCCGACTGACAAATAGTTCTTTAGCAATAAGGTATGCGTTTTGGCGATGGCCTTGAACTGCTTAAATATGATCTCCAGTAGTGTAAGGAGCGGATTGGTCTCTGCAGTTGTTCCACTCATAGACAACTGATGCGTTGTATGCCGGACAACATTGAGCAACTCCGTTTGGATTTGAACGCGCAGCGTTTCTAGGGAGTCTGGAACCTTGTGCAGCATTCCGAACGACTCCACTATGATGGCAACGAAGTAGCTCATGCTCAGCTCCGGGTAAATAAGATCCGCGTCTTCAATAACCTCGGTCTTATCCAAATCGAAGCTCTGTGCCATTTCTGCCAGAGCTTTGCGTACTCGAGCATTGGCCTCGATGCGATCCGTAGATCGGCGTGCTCCTATTCCTCGAGTAAAACTGGAATTCAACCGACTGGAGTTGCTGCGTTGAAACGAGGAGAGTGCCTCGTTCGCTGAGTTGGTATACACTTGGGTGACCAGTTCCTCATGCAGCCTCTGATATAGTTGCTGACGACGGGCTTGTAAGTCGGTCCGCAGATCAGACAAGCCCTCTACGGCCTGGAGCGGCCCATTGAGGGTAGCAAGGGCATCGGTCAAGGCCTTGCTGGCATGCAGATACTGGCGCTTGGCGGTATAGGCCACCACCCGCTGAGGCACTTTGCGCAGCTCCTGACTGGAAAAAAATGGAGTTGATGCGGGCTGGATGAACTTCAAAGTTGGACTTACATTTGCTCCAACATCTCCAGCACGTATTTGTGCTGAACTGCATCCGTCCACATTTTTCGGAGCTCATCGCGCCGGCATTGGAGCAGCCTTTTGCAGACTCCGAGGTTCTCCTTGACAGCATGGATCCGTTCCCGACTGGCCGTCACTTCCGAGGACACCTGGCTGAACAGGGGCAGCACCTGGGTAAGCTGCTGGTCATGTCGAGACACTAGCTCGTTTAATCGCAGATCAGAGCGCTTAAACTCCTGCTCTATTTTCTGCTTTTCCTTTTGACGCTCCTCGGTGGTCTCACTGAATCCCAGAGACTTGATGACGTTGACCAGAAAGCCACATCCTGCGGACTACAAAAAATGTCCAACAACCATTACTCACTTTTAATCTAAGAAAAACAATATCGCCTCACAAAAAGAGGGCGTATGGCACCAACAACAACATCCAGATGGTGTCGTCATCAACTTTGGACCCGCAGCGCAAGCTGCACCTAAGAACCTATTTTTTAGCGAACAAAACACAATAAGGCGAGGTTTCCAGGTGGGTTTATTGGTTGAGAAGACTAAGCTGCGAGGGAAATACCATTTTCAGAGATGGCTTGAAGAAATTTACCTCATCCTTGCCGTACTTCACTCCCCTTGGAGGCTTCGTAGGCGGGGGGGCGTCCATGTAGACGCTGTTGAACGCGAAGAAGTGCTTAGCTGGTAAATACGCGACGGGGTGGAAATGAGGCACAGGTTAGCTAAGTATCAACATTATATTTCAACAATTGCTTTAAAATTTGTTGTTAAAAAGCACTAAGCACCAGAGTGACCGTACGTGGAGGCGTTAAAAATACTTAAGCTATTGGACTGCAAAACTATCGATAACAAGCACGTAGAGATGGAACTGTTCTATTTCCGATAAATTGATTTTTTTCCGCTTATCTTTTAAGTTCAAATTTGTTCGGCAAGCTGTATTCAATTCTTGATTTTCATTGAATGGAAATGATTTGGAATTAAATATAACTTTATATTAGTTATGCCATATATAGTTTCTATTAAATTATTAAATGCAAATAAAAAAATATATAAATGTGGTAGGATTTCATATTGTTTTTTGAACATCTTTGAATACATTTTTGTTGAATTTTAATTATTGATTAATTCCTTTAAAACAGTAATTACGATAAGTTTTAAGTCAGTCAAAACGACGCCAGCTAATTTAAAACCCGAATAAAGCTTCCAAAAGTACATTTTCTTTTTTAACTTTATTGTGTAACGGTGTAGTTGTATCTACTTATCTGAGTGCTTGGTCGACTTAATTGTCTTCACTAAATGTTAAGCTGAAGCCAATGCGATAAAACAATTGTAATACTTGCTTCAAAAACGCATGACACCTACGTTGCAATAAAATATTCTTTGGTTTTCGAATTGCTTATGCTTTGATTGTGTACACATAAAATTATGTAATCCGTGTGCCTTTGGTACACATACTTTTAATAAGCATCTTTTGTAGTGGTGCTTTCGACTTACACTATTCAAACATTGTATATGATTTCTTCACTAAAATAGCAACATTTGAGACTGTTCACAAAAATTATAAAATTTGCGGGAAGAAGAGTAGATTGATTAGGGACTACATTTTGGTAGTTTTCGCATTAGTTTCTACGTGTTTAGGTACAGTTTACTATTCGGAGGTATTACATAGATTGCTTTTTTGTAGTACATGTTTAGCAGTTGTTCGAGTGGAAGATTTAGATATGAATGGTCTGCCTTGGTTTAAGTTTCACAGGTGGGATCCATGGGGTACATAAGACTAAACCTAAATACACAGTTTAAATACAGTATTCAGTTGCTCTCCTTCCATTCAAATAGTCAATGTGTTCTTGTGTTTGTTGCTCTTTTGCTTGTTGAAAACTTGAAGCGATTGCTAATTAAAATTTGGCTTAAAATTCCTGTGATTTGACTAAGAGTAAGCGGTTACATTTGGGTTGATTGTTTGGCTCTGGGATTACACAAATACAATTTGCTCAGACTAAAGGTATTTCACTAGTTTAAGTAATTTAAATACGCGATTATGCTTAATCTACCAACGCTGGATGTGTACTTCTGTAACTGAAGCCGTGGGGGTGGCATGGTCTGGATTACTCCTTCTTGGGCAACTCACTATTCATGATGCTGAGACGGCGGATGTTGGGCTTGTCGTAGTCCTCCATTGAAATGCCCCGCGACAAGCGCCTCGATCCGTTGGCCCCCTCGAAAGATCCTGAGCTAGCGGTGGAGAAGGCGCGCCCGCGATCCACTCCTGGCATCACCACTGACGTAAGGAGCCCTTGTCCCTTGCAGAACAGCAAAATGGATTGGGCCACCTTGCCGGGCTGGAGGTATTTCAAAATATGTAAAATTTAAATTAATTTATTTAACTTAAAAATAAAATATAACAAGTATTTGTAATCAATTTATTCAAGTTACAACAACACTTACAGCATCGGCGAGAACATCGCCAGCCCTCTCGATCTTCAGAATAGTGACCTTTTCCTTCTCCACATCGCGATGCAGTTTCTCGACCATTGAGGCATAGGGACTCAGCATGCCAGTGATTAAAATGACATCCACCTTGCATCCTTTGAGAGTGAGGTCCTTGCGACTGTGGATTAGGAAACGAAGATAACTCGAAAGTGTACCTCGAATACTTTGTCTGCAAACTTACTTCATAAATGCTTTGACGTAGAGACCGATATTCTTGCTGTTTAGGGATCGGTGGAGACGCTTCTGGTATTCGGCCACAATCTTGTCCTTGTCCGGATTCTCGCCCACGATTTGCTGTAAAGTTCGATGGTTCACCGGGTTTTTGTGAGCAGAGTCAGAGAGCAGAACATTGACGTGAGACAAAAATGCATTAAGGAAAAGCGATCTAAACTATTAACTACAAAAAGTACATTCGTGCAAAAATTACAAAAAGCAGAGACAACAAAATGACAAATGTGGGCTTGAGAAGACTATGGATATATTTTTTCGGTTTCCAATTTGGTTGCTTCTGTCCAATTGTTTGTCGGATGAATTGAAGGGAAAACTATGTACATACCCAGTTCTAGAAGAAAACAACGAGAAGTTCAACGAATAAATAAACAATCAAATTAAACATGCCTAGGAAGAACAAAGGGGACCTAAAACTATGAAGGGTTCGAATTTTAGCGAGCACTGCAGCACCGATTGAGCGAGGTTTGCGAAATGGTTTGGCTTAGGAAGAGACTTATTTAGAGACGTTTGATCTGTTTACCTCCATAACCTGAAAGCGCAGACGAACAGAGTTCGTATCGGTGGTTGGTTGTTAGGTTCAAACATAAAATAGAACAGAAGGTAAAGTGAGTACAACACTGAGATCAAACCAACGACAACACGCACTCCACGGCAAGGCCAATGGCACACTTTAGCTCGGCCAGGATGAGGCTCATCCTCCCCTCATGATTGTCACTACTTACATGTCCGAATTTGTGGTACATCAGAAAGCTCTCAGCCGACTGGGCCACTTCGTCGCTTTTCCAGCTAATAAACTGCAATGTTAGAGAGAAGGTGGATTAATTAGTGTTTTCCAATAACAAGTTCTATGTAACACAGATAAGTTATTTGGTGTCCACTGCGAAAATACATTTTAAAGTTAGACGAACCACACTGCGTATGTTTAATAGGGAAATTTTGAGTCATCACGAACAAGGAAGTTATTAAACACAATATTTAAAAGAAGTTAATTTGAAGTTCTAAAATATTTAGGTATTATAGATTCTTTCAATAGGGTTAAGCATTAACTAGCTTAAGCGTTCTTGAACTCTCATTAATTTGCCTGCTAGGGCTTGGGAATAGTTTGTTTGAATAGTAGTCTCAATTGCCTGGCTGACAAATTAAAGCGAGGACGAGAAAACAGCCGTAAGGAAGATGAAATATCCAGACACTTATTATAGAGACCTCTGCTTAGTCCACTCACCTTGTTCTTGAACGACTGCACTACGCTAGCGGCGCTGCCAGTGGCGTTGATCAGGATGAGGCCAAGTGCCCGGCTGGGATGGGCCAGGCCGAAGCGGGCCAGGACATTGGCACCAGCGCCCTCTCCCAGGCCAATCACGTATTTGACGTGCAGGTAGTCCAGCACGGTGACCAGGTCCTCGCCCAAGGCCTGAAGCGAGGGGAACGGGAAACTGTCGGCCAGGGCCTCGGCGTTGTCTGCGTGTCCCGGGACATCGACGTGGATGAAGCAGGAGCGCTCCTTGATCTCCGTCATGCAGGGGCTGCTTACGAACTCCTGAAAAGAATTGTCTGGGGGCGGGCTCAATTAGTCAACTGTGACTGGCCGAATGGCAATTAGTTCACCCGGGATCCGTCTACTTACGGTTGCAGCCCAAGTCGTGGACCGTGATAAATACGGCTCGCTTCTCCTGCTGCGACAGGTCGCCCTAAATCACGGTATAAACGAGAGGATAGCGTTAGGCCCTCGAAAAGGTCAAGACCCGGACCGTGCTCACCTGAACTATAACAGTCAGATCCCCGCATTTCTCAGTGCTTATATTGTATTTCTGCAAAGACGGTAATCAAAATATAAATTGAAGTGTGTGCTCGGAATGCTGTTATTTGTTAGGGCAGAACTTGAAAACTGGAAAACTTTGGCGAACGCAAAGTAAACGGTAAAATGATTTTCACGTTGCCATAAACACAAACTCAAGCGTGAAAAATGACGGGCATGAAATGACCAAAAAATGTGAATGTTTTCCTCTGCATTTGACTTTGTGAGCGCTTGCTTTTGGCAGGTCCTTGATGTCCTCCAAGCCACGTGTCCCTGGCCTTAGGAAGAGGATGCTGACTTGCCTTGTGTAATTTTTGAATTTGAATTTCTCGCCACGGCATGTTAAATATTTGTGTGCATTTAATATACCCATTCGTGCATTGGAATTCGGAATGGAAAATTCAAGTACATGCCTGAACGACGAGCATCCTTGAAACACACCAAACTGTTGAATGTTTGTGTTCTGCAACAAAGCAGAAGCTTACTTTCGACGCTCAAAGGTATTTTTGGCATTAAGAACTCCCTGGGGATTGTTTGAGGGAAATTTCTAAATTGAATTTTATGTGCGATTGGCCAAATCCGTTTTGATCCAGGAAGTTGCAAGTGGCTGGGTTAATTTTCAACAATTTTGTAAATATTTTTATAATCCCCAAGGCAGTATACTGTGAAAAGGGTCTTAGTTTGCATGGACATGATACATTTTGTCAAGTTTCACAACTTTTTGGTTTTCAATAAATAAATAAATTAAAGGGAAATTTTCTTATTTTGGTATTTGTTTAGCAATAATATTATATTTAACTTTTTGTAAACATAAACAAAATAATTTATCTTGCCGATTTCAATGTGACTTTATACGGTCTCTACAGTTTATGACTTCATGGCCTAAATTCGTGCGATGGCCAGGATATCGATTGAGGTAATTCAAGCTCCGGAGTCCGGAGAGGCACATTGTACGTTTCATTGGGAAAAGTGTATTGTGTTGGCCTATCAGTTTCAGGCAGTTCTTCTCCTTCTTCTTTGCCTAAGCCCATTTCGGAATTTATTAAAGCGTAAAGCAAATAAGCCTGCCAAGCTCCTCAAATTGAGACCGAAGCATCGGCAGCCTGTGAGGTCCTTTGTCAGCCATCCCGGGCATCCTTGGCCATCCTTGCCCCTATGACAGCCCTCGAATAACACACTCTCTTGTTCCCCACATGCAGCCATTGAACACTTATTGAAATTGAGTGAAACTATACAAGTGTCAAAAGACCAGCAGGGCCAAGAACCTCTTCTGGCCAAGAATTTGCCTAAGCCCTTTAATGTCTATTCGGCTAAACCTAAGAACCCCTACCCCACGCCCACTTGGGGGTTTTGTGTAAGCCCGTAAATAGATAAATAAACGGAACGGGTATTATGCAAATGCATTTGTTGAGTGCTCGCCGCAGCTTTGTTCGCTTGCCTCGTTTTGCGGAAGACGAAAGACGAAAGTCGCTCGGATTTACCTGCGGCATGGCAATAAAGTTTTGCATTCAAATTAAAAACATAAATATATCAGACAAATTGGCTGCTTATGTAACTGCGTTCTATGTGCCAGCAGCTGGGGCCAAATTGCATCGCCCAAGGCTTTTTGTTCATATAAAGCGCAGCCTGACTGCAGGATCAGCCAGATGCACTTTGGCTCGCAAATCCATTGACGACCAGCGATGATGGGAAAATTGCTGGGGATGATGTTGCGAAAGGGCAGACCGGAATAATGGCCGGGAAATCAACAAACAAGCAAACAGCGTGCTTGCCGTCACAAATCAATTGGCATTAATTGAGTGTGAGTGGGTTGGTTGGGTTGCGATGGGATTCTATCTGCCAAGGACAAGAGTCCACAGTGGGAAACATAAAAACATAAGAATACGAGTATATATATAAAAAGCAATAGTTGCAAATAATATTATAAATATATTTTAAGTTTGTTTAGATGTTACCCATGCAAGTTTTACCTTTTCTATATTTTGTAATATTACTATTATAATTTATTTATTTATTCAAAGAACCTTAAGCTAGACTGATTATTTTTTGACTGTGTAAATATACATCTAAGAGTGTTATCTTGGGGGCGTGGGATATTCATTTACTGACGAGTTCTGCTCGAAGAATGACTGCTATAAAGTGTTGACAATTGATGGTGACAGAAAGGGGATTGTGTGTCAAGACCTAGGAAATTACAGGGTTTCCTCAGTCGTTAGGAAAACTGCCTTTGGGCCAAGTGTGTCCATTCAGTGAACCTTTGTGCACCTGTCATCCCATCGGCATGATCAAATATAAACGCATATATGCCATGAAAATCGCTTATAAATAATGAAATTGCCAATAAATTGCACGCCCTCAAAAGCACTTTGTGGGTGAAAGTGGAAAGGGGGGTGATTGGGGGTGTGCGAGTATGTAGTGTGTGCCACCTGTGACGGACTGCCGGGCTGCTTGCCTGGCTGCACTTTACGACCTGCCGATGTTCATTCATCCACCTTTCCCCCGGCGGGAGTCCTTGCCTGTCGCCCTCGCTCACATCACAGATGATGGATGTCTTGCGGTTGGCTCAGCCACAAATTTTCACTGGCTAACAGTCGAATGCTTCTGAGCACGCTCAGGTACACTGAGGGAAAAGAGGGTAGTATAGAAATTGAAAACAACTTGCAATGATTGACCTTATAAAATGTCTCTTTAAACTAATGACATATAAAGTTTAATGGTTTTTCTGAAGAGGGGTTAGCTTTGGGTCTAGCTTTGGGGCATTTTCTTTCTATCAACTCAATTGTAAAGGAAATTGTTCACTCGTTTTTGCGTCACAGGAACTTTTTGGCCCCCAGTCAGTGTCAGCTGTCCGCTTGTTTGTGGCTCTTGCCATTGCCAGAGCCATCAGTCAATTAAAAAGTCATTTGGCTCAATCGTTTGATTTATGTTGGAGAGTCTAGCCCTGCCCTCCTACCGATTTCCAAGTTTTTCTACTTTCCACTTTAATTGACTTGCGATTGGGTCAATGTTTGCACTTCTTCTCGTACTTGCAGCCATGTGCCCGTCTACGTCGAGATACTTAATTGAGACACACGACTATATAGTCGTCACGTCTTTGACTCGATTTTCCTGTGACGGAAACACATGTGAAGAGCATTGATGGAAATTTACTTGAGGTGGAACAAGTTGGGGTCAGTGCCTCAATTGGCAACTGTCATCTGCCAGTTAATCAATTTGTGATTATGGAGGTAAGCAAACTTGCTTGTAAACTAGAATAAATTAATGTACATTTAGATGTGGTTTGGATGAGCAGAGATTATTTCAGAGATGGAATAAAAAAAGAGTAATAAATTTTGAAAAGTTCTGTCAAGTTCCTTTTAGAAACCCTGACAAATATTTTCCCCGTTGGTAAACAACCTCCTTGTTTGCCATCAACAAAATAGAGCAATACAATTTTTCGGTACACGAATTGCATTTTCATGTCCATAAAGTTTGGTTTTCATTTCGAGCATTTCTCCGGTATCTGTTTGATATCAGTGGCAGATGCAGATGCAGATATATGCGTCTGAATTTTGCTACAGTAGGGGCACGCTTGCATGTGTGTGTGTGTACCCAAAACGATGTCCTGAATGCCTGCAAAACATGCATAAAACTGTATCACTTGCTCTCCGCAGGATAACAAAAGGGGAGGTGGTTTTCGGAAGTGTAGGAGGGTGGTTGGATCGTTGGATGGTTGGATGGCTGAATGGGTGGAATCCACCCAAAGCTGAGGCATTGCCCCCAAGCCAAAGCTGAAAGTTGCAGCTTGCCATGATGTTGCTGCCGAGTGTGTTGCACGTGTCAACTCATTGACCTCCTTGCTGCTGTTCCGTGTTGCCATAGCTCTTGGCTCCTTCTGTGTTCTCGTCTCATATTTTTCCGATTCCGTTGACGTTGCCAGTTTTTCGAAGCTTTAACCCCTTCCGCCTTCGCTCTCTCTTCATGTCGGCTGACTGCGCTTTCCCTTTTCCCATTCAGACTCGATCCAACTTCCCGTGCCCCCTCTCAATCCCATTTGCCCCGATTTCCCTTTAATGTCGTAATCATGTGGCAGCGACCTAAGTGCCCATTACACACGGCAGCCTTGTTTCCATCATATCGCACACGATCCCATTCCAGGACATCCGTCCTGGCGTGAGAGTTTGCAGAAGTTGTCAGCCGGTCGGGTTGATTCTGCCGGATTGCTGATGGATTTCACAGTTGACGGCTTGATGGCTGCTGTACTGATATACTGATATGCCGTGTTTCGCCAATGATACGGGTTTTAAGCTTTATTCTGATGAAATTCCTAACTGCGTTTCTAATGGACTGGATTGATAATGGAAAAAGTTTGAAATAACATTTGAAATTAGCTTACTGAAAGTTAAGCTAGATGAATAAGCTTAATTAAAATATGTATATCACATGAGAGGATTAACCTGACTTTATAGCAGTTAACTTATATTCACTTTAATTTGAGTGCTCGCCCTTTAAAGACTCCAAGAGTTGACCTTACAGATCAGATACAGCTGCTGTTCTGAAAGCCACCAAAAATTGAAAACTAACTTTTGCGAATAATATTTTAAGCAAGAAACGAGTAAACTTCCTTTTTGAAAAGTTTTAGCCAAATTCAGATGGTTCTTTGTTCCGAAAATGGTTAAACAAAAACGAAAAGTTTGTGCAAATGGGACAGCTGAAACTTCGCACCTCAGACTCGTTTTCTATTCGGGCCAATTTTCTTTGTTCTTGTTTAATTACCCAACAGCTATACACCTCCGCAGCTATTTGCCGTTCCAGGTGGATATAGGTCAGCATTTATCTCAGCCCGTTCCTCGCCATCATCCATGCAGCTCATCAGCTTTGATGGGGACAAAAAAAATCGGTGCAAAACAAAGCCGGGCCCAAGTTGAGGGCTCTAGAGAGGCAAGTCTGCTGCAGAAGTGTTCGCCACTCGAACAGAAAGTTTATTTAACAAAGTGCTGGCCATTGAATCCTGGCTACATCCACCACCCCCAC